CTGTGTTTCCACTTTAGATTTTGTTCCTAGACTCCACAAACAAGACTTCTTGGCTCATTACACCCTTCTATTAGCTGGGATTATTAGTAGTCATCCAGCCCCAGGTATGGTTATGGTTCACTTTCCTTAACGTGGCCGATGAGGCCGTGAAAATCTAATTTAGTTAAGCCAATCACAGACATCAAAATGAGCAGCACTCTTGATTCAAAACTCTCTCCATAGCCAGATCTTTGCTGTCAGCAGTGGTCTGAATGAGAAAGCCCGCTGCAGGCTCCTGTATCTGAAGGCTTGGTCCTCAGTTGGTGGCCCTGTTGGGAGGGCTACAAGTGTGGCCTTATCAGCAGGGGTTGGTGGCGCACACCTTTACTCCAAGCACTCGGAAGGCAGAGGCAGGCAGATCTCTGTGCGTTTGAGGCCAGTCTGGTCTACAGAGTGAGTTCCAGGACAGCTGACAGCCTCCAAAGCCACAGAGAAACCCTGTCTCGAAAAACGAGAAAAGAAGAAGAGGAAGAGTGGCCTTATTGCAGGAGGTAAGTCACTGGCGGTGAGCTCTGGGGTTTCAAAAGCCCTTGTTATTCCCAGCTAGCTTTCTCTCTGCCTCCTCCTTGTAGGTATGGATGCAAGCTCTCAGCCACCACTGCAGTGGTGTGTCTGAGTGCCTGCTGCCATACTCGTCACCATGATGGTCGCAGGGACCTCTTCTGGAAATGTGAGCCCCCGATGCAATGACTTCTTTTATAAGTTGCCTTGGCCATGGTGTCCCCTCACAGCAACAGAAAGGTAACTGAGACACTGTTCAAATCTTTGTCACCACAAACTGATCTATGAATAGCTACAACTGGGCCATAAAGATTTTTCTCTCCCAAGAATTTAAAATTTGGCAGGAAGGATCAGAGAATAAGAGTTCTAAGAAACAGGTCCGCACTCCAAAGTGAAATTTTCAACCAGGAGCAGTCTTATCCCTCGGGAACTTCTGGAAATTCCTAGAAATATTAAATGCCCCACACCCACACTTGGTGGAATAGTCTCCACAGCCAAAAAGTGTCTGGTCTGAGATCCAAAGCTGATACACCTTGCTCTAGGATAAAGGCCCAGGGCTTCAAAAAGCCAAACTGGCTTCTGCCTGTCTCAGCGTTTGTGGTCAGAGCTTCATGAATCTGTGACCCATCCAACAGCTTCAACTACATTTCCCTTTTTACATAAATAGCCGCATTTCTCTTGTCTGCAGACAAAACAGCCTTTGCTAGCCAAGTTACCCAGCTCGATTATTTGATACACGTCTACTACATATTTTAAACCAGTTTCTCAGCTTTTCTGCTCATGGTATGTGGGCCAGATGCGTGTTTATTTTACATGACTGTGCTGTGAGAGTGTCTAGCTTCTCCACCTACCAGGTACCAACAGAACAGCTTCCAAGTTATAATAATCAAAAACACTGCCAAAGGTCCCCCAGGAACAGTGTCAGGGATTGGCAATCACTGCTTGGAACAAGATAAAGGCCCCACCCAGAAAAGGTGCCATCTACCAGGCAAACTCATCTCCAGAAAAAATCTGTGCATAACAGACTATGTCCTAAGGCTAAGTGACAGAAAGGAAACATTTGTACTTGGACCTCTCTTATTACTTTGAGGTCCCAGATTAACTGAATGCGTATCTTTTGTCCCTGCACACATACCTACACACCTGCACACAGGGACACACACACACACACACACACACACACAGTCACAAATAAAAGGGTCTGAAAGTGAAATGAAAGGTAGTTCCTGCTTGAATTTCCTTTCTTACATTTGTTTGAACGTTTTAAAGAACTTCATATCCCCTCATTAGGGGGAGAGGTGGGGAAAAAGACTCCCCTGTAACGACCTCCTACACATGCCCTGTTCTAGTCTAAAATATCTGGGTAATCTCTTCTTGAGGGGCATTTCCTGTTTCGTTTCTCTTTTTTAAAAAATATAGCATTTCTAACCTCTTCCTTTCTCTCATCACACTCCCCATGGCTGGGGTTCACATCAGTCAAGTACACAAATTTCATTAATGCAAGAGGCACTCAGAAAACAAACAGAAATATGGACTTAAAATACTTAAATCGCCCAGTTTAAAGTGTGGGTCAGTCTCATCCTCACTTTTCCAATAAGCCAACTTCAAAAGAACTGTCCAGCCTCCAACACTGCTAGTTTCAACCTTAAAATCTTAAGGTTCATTCAGAGCAAGCATTCTATTTTTCTAAACCAATGGTTCTCAACCTGTGGGTCACAACCCCTTTGGGGTCAAATGATCTTTTCTTAGGGATGGTATATCAGATATCCTGCATACCATGTGTTTACATTACAATTCATAACAGTGGCTAAATTACAGCTATGAAGTGGCAACGAAAATAATTTTATGGTTGGGGGTCACCACAGCATGAAGAACTGTGTTAAAGTGTTACAGCATTAGAAAGGCAGAAAACCACTGGTCTACACAGATCTCTTCCTTGCTGGACAGGTCCCTTCAAAAGAGCCCCTAAGGACTTGGACATTTTTCTAATTCTTCTTTTCTATAACAGGACAGGAACCAACCACACACCTCATCCCCCACCCCCACAATGTTTCTCAGTAGTCCAGGCTGGTCTCAAACTCAGTAAGTCGCTAAGGATGGCCCTGAACTTCTGAGGATGACCTTGAATTGATCACCCCAGCTCCTGAGTGCTGAGATTACAGAAATTTGTCATCACACACGGATTATAAAACGTTGGGGACTGACCCCAGAGCTCCTTGCATGACATGCAAGTACTCTACTAACTTGGTAAACTGAGTCCCATCTCCAAAACACACTTGGTGGCAGGTAAGAGCCAACTTCTGCAAGCTGTCCTCAGACACCCATACAGATGTCCACACACGGACTAGTAATGTAAAACTAAAATAATAATCTTAAAAAAGAAGCTGCAAATGATTTTTCCACTAAAAAGAAAGGAAACGCTAGTATTCTAGAAACTTTCTCGTTTGAAACATCCATTACCATTTTCCCACACAGGTGTAAGAAACCATGAAGATTATACGTAATCCTAAGTACTTAATTCTACATATGTGGATATTAGCTATGTGATAAAAGGAAGCCATTACATTCCCACCCTTAATCTTAAGAGTTCTTTCCAAATGGACTTGTATAAGAGAATTAAAGGATAATGCCCTAAGGCACTTATCGACTGAATTAAATTTCCTTCTAGGCACACAGTGGTAAAGTACCATTATCCTTGGGAAAGAAATAGGCAATCAAACCATTGTCTATGGATCTGAATTTTCATATAGAAACAGAGCTAAGAAAGGGTAAAGTGTATCTCATATAAATCAGACTTACCTAAGTAATAAACATTATTTTAAAGACATAAAACTTTCCTCCAAAATAAGGTGGCTCGGTATTGCACTATCTATACAGTTTTAAAATAAAATTTCAATAAATAAATAAATAAATAAAATTCCCAACAAGGTGTGGGAGCACAGACCTCAGAAAGTACTCAGGAAGCTAAGGCAGGCCAACACCCGGCTTGAAGGTAGCCTAGGACATGTCATGAGTTATTGGACAGCCTGAGCTACATAACCTGTTTCAAATACACACACACACACACACACACACACACACTTTCTAAGTAGTGATGTTAAGAACCAAATACGTGGTCACAAACTTTGCTATAGTTCAACACTTTATGTATATATACTACATATTAAATGTTATTCAATCTAATGCCAGGGCAGCACCTGCTGTGTTGTTTTTGTTCAGTGTGTTCTCAATGTATCACCTGTAATATAAATAAATAAATCGGGAGAATGAAGACTTATTTGCTGTACACGTCTATCATTATACCCGAGTACCTTCCTTTAATCAGTTAAAAGTATTCATTAACTTACAAATAACAGAGGAGAGAAAGACATCGTAACCAAGGGCCCTGAATTCCCTGTCACCAACTTGGAACGGGATCCTACATTTAGCCTGTGTCTTGAGACAAATATGGAGAAGCCCAGAGCAGAAACAAAGTGCCAGTTTACTGAGTCATGTCCCTGACTAAAACTGTGTTATGAAATGGAAAGAATGAATCGTCTTGGGTTCAAATACCAGAGACGTTCACTCCCTGAACCAAAGGGTCTAGGTAGCAAACCAGAAAACTCTTCAGCAAGAACGGTGCGGGAACAGAAACGACTCCACAAAGAACTTGCCTGAGCTGAGAACTCTGCTTATTTACCTAAAACAAATCCCAACTGTGCAAACAAGCACACCCTCCCGTGCAGCGGAGCGGGAGCGTCAGGTAGGGGACACCGAGAACAATTGCAAGGTTAACGTTTACTGGGAAGCAGCCTCAGCCCCAAGAGTGCACACACACACACACACACACACAGTCACACACACACAGACACACACAGAGACAGACAGACAGACACACACACACACAGAGAGAAAGACACAGACAGACAGACACACACACACAGACACACACACAGACAGTCACACACACAGAGACAGACACACACACACAGAGACAGACAGACACAGTCACACACACAGTGACAGACACACACACACAGAGACACAGACAGACAGACACACACACACACACACACAGTCACACACACACACACAGACACACACACAGACACACAGACAGTCACACACAGTCACACACACACACAGAGACACAGACAGACAGACAGACACACACACAGTTACACACACACACAGACACACACACACACACACACACACACACACGCCCGAGCAGCCCTCGGCTAACGGAACCGCTCGGCGCCGAACCCGGGAGCTTCGGAGCCCGACCCGGTGGGTTCCAGCCCCCGCAGCCGGCCAGCAGCGGGGTGACGCCGGGCGGGCCGGGGACGTCACTGCGGCCGAGACCCGGGGCCGCTGAGCCCCGCCGGCGTCCGCGTGACTCGGGAGGCCGGCCGGCCGGCCGGGGGCGCCAGCGGCCCGGGTGCGGAGGGCCCGGCTCGCTCGCTCGCTCGCTCGCTGACCTGGAGAGGTGCTTCAGGATCTGCTTCTTGATGATCCCAGCCATGGCGCCTGGCGGGCTCGAGCGCCGCTCTCTCCGCTGCCCCTCACGGTCTCCTCTCTTCACGGCCGGCGATCTCCCCTCGGGCCCGCCTCACAGGGACAGGGCCGGAGGAGAGGCGCTGGAGCGCTCGCTCTCGGGAGAGACTCGAGGCCCCGGCCGAGGCCACAGCCGCCGCAGCCGCCGCCGAGAGCCCGGAGCATGACGCTCAGGCCGCCGCGGCCGCCGCCAGCGCCATCTTGGCTGCAGCATCACCTAAGAGACCGGGGGCGGGGCCAGGAGCCGGGGGCGGGCAGAGGGCCGGGGGCGGGGCGAGCTCGGCGGGTGGGCGGGGCCTGTGGGGTTCCCGGGGTCTAGCCGCGCCCCATTGCTGCGGCTCTGATCATTTCTTCACCTCCCCCTAAGCGTGTCTTTGCCTCCATCACTGACTTTCTCTTTCTCGTCTACCTTCCTTTCCTCCGAACTCAACTTTCTGCTCCACAAATAGCTCTGTTGGCGTAGCCCTTTGGACCATCGCAGCTTATTACTCAGTTTCCTTCTGCTAAGTTCGTGCCCTTAGCCAACACCTGTACTTTAATGGTTCCCTTAGTTATTCTAGCCTTAAAGGGAGGAAAATTGACAGCATGTCCTAGAAGTGAGAAGGTCTGGGGTCAGGGAGATGGCTTAGCCAGTAAAAGCACTTGTCATGCAAACCTGATGACTTAAGTTTGATAACCGAACCATCATGGAGGAGAGAACTGATGGCCGAAGATTGTCCTCTGACATCCCTAAACAAACACACACCACCTCACCACACATGCACAGGCATGATAGAAATTTTTAAATGGAAAGCCCACATTGAAGTCCTGGTTCTAATATTTTTCTAGCTGCGTTAACCTGGAAAGATAGTTTCCACTTTTAGCTTTACTTGGTGTACGTGTATGAATATGTGTATGACTTTGGGCACAGAAGTGAGGTCAGGGAAAGCCCTGGGCATCAGGTCTCACCTTCTATCTCTGCTAACCACTGCTTGCAAGTTAACTGACCCCTCGTTGACCCCTTGTTGCCTTTCCCATCTTGCCTAAAGAGAGCTGGGGATACAGACACCTGGCTTTATGTGGCTTCTGCGGATTGAAATTCTAGTCCTCATGCTTGTGGGACAAATGTGTTGTCCAAGCCCGCTCCTCCAGCCAGTTCACCTCACTTTTAATCATCTCTTGCATGTGTCTGAACAGGAGCCTAAGTAGGCAGGCACTTGTTGGTCTGTCCGGGCCATTTTGCTGGTCACCTGTTACAGAAACAGGTTTTAGGAAAAGATATAAATCTCTAAGATGCTTGGCAGGTAGACAGTGCAGCCCATTGAGGTGGGGAAAAACGGTGTTTTAGTTAGCAATGCATGAAGCATGCCAGGTTGGCAAACAAGAATTTGCCACAAATAATGTGTTTGGATGAAAGCAGTCTGAGATATTTTAAAGTAATCAAGCTTTGGGTGTGTTGACAAAGGTCATACAAAGCAAATATTGAACTACTTGGACATATGACCCTTAACAACTCATTATAAGAATGCCTGTTATAAACCACAGAGAAGCCCAGTCTTGAAAAACAAACAAACAAAAATGCCTGTTATGGGACTGACTCCTACTTAGGGGCTGGCATGACAGTCATGGATCCTATCAGAGCTTTACTATACAGGAGAAGGCCACCTAGTGCTGGCCAAGTCCTGTCCCTGGCCAAGTGACACATCCACAGTCTCCGCCCAGAACGCCGCCTTTCTCAGATCCCATGCTTCAGTAAGATAATGTTCCTTGTCCTCAGGCCCTACCTTTCCTCAGCTGACACAGTACCTGTCTTATCTTCAGAGTAATTGTAGGTGGAAACCAGTTGTATTTACAGAAGATTAACATTAAAAGCAACTTTTGATTGGCCTTTACAAGTTACAAAAGCTATTGGGGGGGAGGATAGTTGAACCTCTTGCCTTGTACTGATTAAGAACTATTAGAACAAACAAATATAGAACAACAAAACAAAAAGCAAGGAAGTTAAAATATTCTTAAGGCCCAGGTCAGACTTGGAGCACAGAACCAACTGGATGATCTAGTGTAATTCAAGCTACCAACACCCATAGGTCCCTTTTCTCTGCCCTGGGCTTCTTACAGAGTCACAACAGCTCTGACTGTAGCAATGTTAGCCTACGTTAGAAGCTTTAGTTTATATGCACGCAGTGCACACATGTATATGTAAAAGTTAAGAAAGAGACGGGTAAAATTAATCTTTAGCCTCTTTAACATTTTTTGGACCTTTTAAAGACAAACCTAAAAGGAAACTTATATACCATTTATCTTCTAGTTACTTGATACAGCTGTTTTATGTGGACATAAAACTCAAATGTTAGCTAGAAGTTGACTATAGTATAAAAAGTTAATTTTGAAAGTTGAAAATGCATGATGGTACATGCCTGTAACTAGCCAGTGAAAAGGCCAGTTCAAGGCCAGAACTGAGCAATTTAGTGAGATCTTGGCTCAACAAAACAAAACCTGGGGGTGTATGTCAGTGACAGAATGCTGCCCTCCATACATACTTAATAACTATTCATTCCCAATCAGCATTTTTAAAAGTTACAGGCAGGTACAGGTAATCACTGCACCTCCTGCTAACTCAGATATGGATACATATCAGAAAGGATTGTTTTCAAAATAAGCTAGGGAAATAAAAATAAACTAGGGAGTTATAAAAATACAGCTGAGATATAAAAGCAGCTAAAGGATATAGAGTAATCATATCAGCTTGTCTACTTGGTTAAGTTTTTGTATCTAAATAAATGAGCATATAAAAGACATTTGAAATTTTCTCTTTTTTTTAAAAAAAAAAAAGGAAATTGTTGAAATAGGAAAAGCTATTACATTCTATTACATTCTATGCCTCCTTTCACCTAGTCACAACTCAAGTGTTTTTCCGAGACAAAAGTGACCACAGAGCTATGTCTAAAAAAGGAAAAGAAATTGCACTACCTCCTGAGGGTGTGTAGGGAAGGTATGTGGGTTAAGGGGGAATAGTTTGTACATAATCTAACAACCTGACCTGTTTTGAAGAACGCATGAGAATGTGGAATTATGATGGCTTCACAAGCCTGTAATACTAGCTAATGAGGAGGTTGGACCAGCAGGACCGCGTGAGGTGAGACCTGGAGTTTGAGGACAATGAGAGAAAGTGTGTGTGAATAATAATAATAATAATAATAATAATAATAAGAAGAAGAAGAAGAAGAGAGAGAGAGAGAGAGAGAGAGAGAGAGAGAGAGAGAGAGAGAGAGCCAGAATGGTACACCCTTGTGAATGGAAAAGATAGCATGCGGGTTGACTTTAACATTTGATCACATACTATAAAACAAGGCCTTTACAAGCATCTGGGGCTTTCTGATGATGACAACCTCCCTATAAGAATACACCTTCCCAAAGGGATGCCTCCATCCCTCCCCAGAAAGGAGAGAGAAAACAAGACCAACTCTTGCTGCAGAGCCCCAGCTCCTAGATCATGGCTGTAAGATTCCTAGGCTGCTGGAGAGTCATCACAGCCCTTAGCCCTGAATAAGGACGTTTTCTATTTTGGCTCCTCCATTCTCCTTTGCCTGCCTCGAGGAGGAGGGGCAAGGCAGACAGGATGTTCCTTCTGGAGGAAGCAGGATTAAAAAAGCACCCCGAGATAAGTGGGAAACCATCCCATAAGACATGTTTTGGATATTAAAAACAAAACGAGGGTTGCCTAAACGAAAGGGTAAAAACTGTAAATGTCCTGGTGTGATTGTAGGGTCATCGACAAAGACCCCAGTGTTCTGTTGCTTGACTGTAGCTCAACTTTTCGTTGTGTAAACTTGGCCAAGGTTTTTGTTTGTTTGTTTGTTTTGAAAGGCTTTTCCAGCCTGTTACTTCACTTGTTAGGAGATAATAGCATCTAATTTAGGTAATTTGTGAGGCCCAAATGAGACTATGCACATAGTTTAACACACAATGGTGTTCCGATTTGTTATTGTTATTAGAAGAGAGCAAAGCATTGCGAGACCAGATTCAGGAGGGTTTACAATAGAGGTTGCTGGGTGTCAGGACTAGTCTCACGCTCACACTGGTGATCCTCCGGGCACTTCTCCCCCTCCCCCTCCCCTAAACCTCTCCATCTTAGGGGCTGGGCTTTGCTTGCCTTCCCCCAGCGTCTGCTCTATTATCACCTCAGCCATTTTGGCTAAGTAGTCTGCTTGTACCCCTCCCCCTCTCATCCTTGACTACCCCCCCCTCCCGTCCCGTCCCTGTCTCCTCTCAAGGCCCAGTACGGTCTGAACCCTCTTGCTGTTTTCTTCCTCATCTCTACAATAAAACTTTCTCCTGGAACCACCATGTCCTCATCCCTCACTTTTTCCTCCAGAGATGATATTTCAGAAGATGAATGAGCCACTTTAATTTTCCTGGGGGGGGGGGGAATAACTGACTTTGAAATCAAAGACTTGGGTTTGAAAGACAGCTTGTCAAAGCCACTCAGAAAAGTTGCCTACACCACAGAATGGCAGCTATTGGTGACTCACTCGCTAGAAGTGATTTAAGCAGATGGGACACAAGTATGACAAAACACTGAAGTGTGAAAGTCATAGCTATAAATGGCTGCAGATCTAATGTTGTGTTTAGAGCAACATAAAAGTCCCTTTTCAAAATAGTAACTGTTACAGAGCCCATGTCATTGATTACAGTCACAATTTCATTGTGGAAAATAAGTGATAACAGTTTCACACTTGCTCTTCCTTGATGGAGAGAATGCACAGTACTTCAAACTACTACAAATTTAGTAGTGCTTAAAAATTTATTAGCATGGTTAGTAATTGGCATTCAATTTGCAAACTGCAAATTTTAAATTCAGTGGCAGAGCATTTGCCTAGAATGTATAAGGCTCTGGATTTGATCTACAAAAAAGAAAAGGAAAGAGTATGAATTTTTAAAAGGTTGGAAGCATGATTGCCTTAATAAATTCAAAGTGAACATTCTCCTCATTTGCCTCTCTGTTGGTATAATAAAACACTGACCACAAGCAACTTGTGGGAAGGAAGCTTGATAAAGCTTGGGCTGGAACTCCAGGAAGAAACCTGAAGGCAAGATCTGAAGCAGAGAACATGGAAGCAGAATGCTGCTTATGGCCTACCTTCCTCCAGCTTGCTTCCTCTGGGTTGCTCAACTACTTTTCTTATGCAATATGGGTCCACCTGCCCAGGAATGGCACAACTCACACTGGGCTGGGTCATTCCACAGTCAGCAATCAAGCAATGCTGCACATATGGGCTCATCAACCCATGTGATGGGAGCAATTCCTCAATTGAGATTCCCTCTTCTTGTGCAAAGTAGACAAAAACTGGCACATAGATCAAAGATTTGTTAAATAATATTAACACAAGAACTTAAGTCTTATATGAATTCATTATAAACATATGCTGTTTATGCTTAAACATGCTTAAAAATTGGATTTACATGCCTTTAATCAGAGACAGGCACATCTCTCTGAGTTCCAGGCCAGTCTCATATTACAAAGCAAGTTTCGGGACAGTTAAGACATAGAGAAACCCTATCTTGAAAAATCAGGGAAAAAATTACATTTTTTAAAGGTCTGGAAAGATGACCCAGTGGTTAAGAGCACTGGCTGCTCTTCCACCGGGCCTGGGATTAATCCCCAACAGCCACACAGCAGCTCATAACTGTGACTCCAGTTCCAGGGGATCTGGCACCACCACACAGAAGACATACATGCAAGGAAAACATTAATGTGTATAAAAATAGTTTAAAATGTAAAAAACCACAAAAAAGAAAAGTTGGGTTTCTCGACTTTAAATTATTTGTCCTAAAGGGGGTGTGCAAAGTGTGAAGGTGAGGAGAGACTGGGCTTTTATTAAACAATTTATGCTGAAGCTGGTTCACCTTGCTCAATCGTTGAGCTGGAGAAATGACTCAGAGGTTAAGAGCACCAGTTGCTCTTCCAGAGGACCCAGGTTGCAATTTCCAGCACCCCTATGCATAAGCAACTATGACTCCAGTTCCAGGGTCTCTGGTGCCCTCCCCTGGCACTGTATTACTTACCTTTGGCATTGCTGTATGCAATAACTGACAAAATTCCAAATTCAGGGCCAGGCAGTGGTGGCACATGCCTTTGATTCCAGCACTAGAGAGGCGGAGGCAGGCAGATCTCTGTGAGTTCAAGGCCAGCATAGTCTACAGAGGGAGTTCCAGAACAGATTCCAAAGCTACACAGAGAAACTCTGTCTTGGGGGGAAAAAAATTCAAAATCCAGTTAAGGGAGAAAGTGTTCACATTTGGCTCACAGTTGGAGGGTAGAGTCATGGCAGGAAAGTCATGTTGGCAGGTCATGGGGGTAAGTATGATACCCATCCACATGATACCCATAGTCAGGAACCAGAAAGCAATCACTTCAGTCTGGAAGTTAGGATGGGTCTTCACATCACGACCAAACTAAAATAATCCCTCACATGTATGCCCAGAAATTTGTCTCCAAGGTAACTGTCAAGTTGGCAGTCAATATAAACCACCGCAGGAGGTTGACCAGATCTCTGATTTATAAAAATGCTTGCTAATCACTATGCTTTCATTTCAGAAGAGACAAAGAGTGGAGGCTGGAAAGGCATGGATAAGGCCATGTGGCATAACTATTTCAGGTGAGAGATAAGGACATGTCAGTTGAGATGAAGTAAAATCAATTACAGATTTCAGAGATCTAGTCAAAGATGACAGCAATTGAGGTTTCTAGCTTGAAGCACTGGGTGGAGTCTGAAGGAACACCAATAATGGAGATGAGTAAAGCGGGTGGAGCGAGTATGGGAAGACAGCATTTAGTGTTAAATGTTCTGTGTCTAAGGCTGCCTCAGGATTTGAGGGTGGAAATGTGTACGATAGAGAATTCTGGTGTAGGAAGCATCTGTTTTCAATGCTTACTAAAGCCAAGAACAAGAAGAACCTTGATCAAGAAGCACATAAATGTTGAGAAAAGCCAGAATGACGTTTAAGTGAGAAAGGGCTGAAGCACGGTAGAAACAGGATTAGAAGAGCAGACTTGAACGATGAGAAAGATAGAAATGATGACTGCTGTGTGATATAATACTTAAAAGAAATGTGTTACTCGATTCCAGTAAATCAGCTTATCCCTCCTTTGTTGGGTGGGAGTTTTTATTTTTTAGGTTTCGAAAGCAGGACTCCACGCGCAGTGCCATTCTTGAACTTACTATGTGACTCAGGTTGGGGCTGGAAGAGGTGATGCTCCTGCCTCCGCCTGTGTTGGATTAGATAAAATAGAATGATGATGTTGAACAAAATTAACTTTAGACATTTCAAAGAAATTTTCCTATTTTTATGATCCTGAGCTTCCCGGAGAGCCAGTGGGCTGGGGGGATTAGCCGGGGAGCGCGAATGTGACCTAACGAGACAGATAAGTAGACAGCAAATATATAATTTATCGTGACCAATTCCTACAACTTGATGCGAAAGGCCATCTCCGACCCCACGCTGCGTATGGTTTTGTACTTTTCTTCAAGAACACAGGCGTCTCCGCCATTCCAATTGAACTCAGGCACAGGCACGCACGCACAGCGCACCACGGGGTTACAGAAAGCTTTCACTCGCCAGTGTGCGGAAAAACAAGAAACGGGAGAGAAGGTACTTAGCGGTTTCTATCACTGGGAATCGTTGCTCCGTTAAAAAAAAGAAAAGAAAAAAGAACAGAAAAGGAAAAAGAAAAAGAAAAAAAGGATGGGTCTGAAAACTGCTTGCTCCGGGGACAAGAAATCTCGGCTTCGCTGCCTACTTCCGGCGTAGTCCGTTGCCAGAGTAACCGGAAGTTACGCTCGGCCCCGCCCCCACAAACCATAGAGTACCGGAAGCAGCCTGAGCAGAGGCGACTCGGGGGGTTGGAGCCGCTCGGCTGCGGCGTTGGTGGGTGCCGAGATGACGACCTTGGTTCTGGATAACGGAGCCTACAACGCCAAGATCGGTTACAGCCATGACAGTGTCTCGTAAGTGCCCGTCGTCCCCGCCTCGACCGACCCGCAGACGCCCTCGCGCGGCTGCAGCGCGAGCCGAGGGATGGATGGATGGATGGATGGATGGATGGATGGATGGATGGATGGATGGATCCGTTTGGGGCTGGGGTGCCGGGTTCGAAGATCTGAACTGAAAGTGATTTTGGCTTTCGTTTAGGGCTGCGAGCTCCGGAACTGGAGTGTGTGCTTCATTTAGTTAACAGCAAATAGGTTTCTGGAGATTGAGTAAGGGATCCAAAGACAAGAGTTCGTGAAGTTTCAGAAATAGTGGGCAGCGTCTTGGGCATACTCGCCTTTTGGGTAAACGTAATTACAGGTTTTCATCGGATCCCCAAAAGGTTCAGTGCCGCCCAACGGCCAGAGTTGTGAAGCCAACAACAGCATTAGAACCCATGCAGTCTGCAGGCTTGAATGACTTGGTTGGTAAAACCAGGAACACTGCCGTGGCATCTCAAGATGGGCTTCATAAAATGTATGTTTGAATAAATAATAGACGTTTCTCGGTTCTGGAGCTCAAACCCAGGACCTTGCATAGTTAAATACTGTACCACAGAGCCACCACCCCAGCTGCGCTGTAGCACTAGGTGTAATTCAGGATGACCTTAAACTTCACACCCTCCTGCCTCCACCTCCTGGGTGCTAGGATTACAGCTGAGGGCCTAAGTAGGCATCTGACTGATTTTTTTTTTTTTTTTTTTCCTAAAGCTAGGTGTTGAAACCTTTGTAGGTGAGCAAGCACTACATTGCTTAGCCCAGTCTATGTGACTGAATTCATACAGCTTCAATGCTGATGAAGACACTAAAAAATAAGCCTTCTGGGCTGGAGGGATAGCTCAGCCGTTAAAGGCTAGGCTCACAACCATAAAATAAGGCTTTTATGTACGTTGGGTTTTTGTTTGCTTGTTTTTGGTGAGAACCAGATACATGGGGCTGGAGAGATGGCTCAGTGGTTAAGAGCCCTTTCTGCTCTTCTAGAGGACCTAGGTTCAATTCCCAGCACCTACATGGACTCTTAAGAATTGTCTGTAACCCCAGTCCTAGGGCATCCCACATCCAGGAAAGAATAGCCATACACATAAACAAATAAACAGATGAGTGCAAATAGCATACACATAGAAAGGGATTCTTTTTGTTGTGTTTTGTTTTTAATGTGCTAGAGAATGAATCAAGGACCTAACAAATTTGAGGCAAGTGATTTACCGTTTAACTATAGCCTGCTTCTCTTGTATTTCTTTATTGAGATGGGGTCTCACACTGTGGCCCAATCTCCCTTGGAATTCATTGTGTAGCCTAGGCTGTCCTCAAACTCATGGCCATCCTCCTGTCTCAGCTTCCTGAGTGCTGGAATTATAGGCATGACCTACCACTCCTGAACCCAACCCATGCTGATCTTAAAAGCATACCTTCCAAGAACCTTTAAACATGAAGAAAAAAATGTTGTTAGTAAATAGTAAGTGAAAGTAGGCACAACCTTTTACTGGTATTATCTCCACAGCATGTGTGTATGAGTGAATGCATACTTGTAAAATACTGACCAGAATTTGTCTTCCTGTCTAAAGTATGGGCTCCTGGAATAGGTGGTGATTGAGAATCTAGTTTCTTGGAAACAAAAATTTGAGTTTTATCTTTTTAAAGAATGTCTACTTTAAAGGTGGGAAAAAAAAAGGTAGAAATATGTATTGCCAGAGACCAAAATCTTCAGTCTTGCTACGAGAACATCTCTTTTTGAATCTTCAGATGTTTTATATAGGGTAGCCTCTATACTAACTGGCTGTAGTTATAAAATACTAAAATATACTTATGTGTTATTCTTCAGTTCGCTCTTATTTATTTTGAGACAGGGTTTCTCTGTGGCTTTGGAGACTGTCCTGAAACTAGCTCTTGTAGACCAGGCTGGTCTCGAACTCACAGAGATCTGCCTGCCTCTGCTTCTTGAGTGCTGAATATAGTCATCTTTTAACACATGGGTGATGACTAAATACTAGTGCATTTTAGGAACTAAGTATTGGAAGATAAGTCTTTATTTCTTTTTGTCTAGGGTTATTCCCAATTGTCAGTTCAGATCAAAAACAGCGCGTCTTAAAACATTTACTGCTAACCAGATTGATGAAATAAAAGACCCTTCAGGACTCTTTTACATTCTTCCTTTTCAAAAGGTAATGCACTCACGTTTGATTTCTGATATTATAAACTGTGTGAGGGGAGTAGGGTCAGAGTACAGCTTTCCGAGCTTCTCACTTTCTATCATGTTGAAGCAGGTCTCATTGCCACCATTGTGCTGTGACTCTAGGCTGGCCGACTCAGAAGCTTCCGCGGCAGGACTGTCCTGTTTCCCCCTCCCATCTCCGCAATAGGGATGCTAGAAACGTGTGTGGGCCACTGCAGGTTCTGGGGATCGGACTTGCTATTTTTATCTTGTGTGTGTATGGGCAAGCTAGGCAGTTGCTGGCCGCAGTCAGAGGGTTCAGTGCCCCTGGAGCTCCAGGGTCTGAAAAAGTTTGTTTCAATTTTAATTAGGATCTAATTAAAATGACAAACTGAAGTTAAATTGTTTTAGTAAAAATAACCATGACGTAGTTACTCATTAAGAGACTTTGTATTAGATTTTAGTTGTATTAAAACAGGTGGTACACAGTCCTCGTCTGTTGGTGTGCTGACATCTTAGTTGTTGTTCATCATAAGCTTTTGAGTATTTATAAGATCACCACCGCTGTACCTGGTTGACAGCCACACACGGCACTAGATAGGAAAAGATGACCATTCAGAGCTAGAGCTCAGGGATTTAGAACATGTTGTACGGACTCAGGCATTACACTGGCCTGCCTCTGTCACCGGCCAGAATGCACTCAGGCAGTACCCTGGTCAGCCCAGGGTTCCATGGTTGCACAGTCTGTGTGCAGGTGAAAGGACCCCTTTAAAAGAAAGACTCCCCCCTCCCCACCTTTGCTATCTTTCCCGCCCTTCCCCTGGGCAGACGGGACTTTGCTGTCTCCCTCTTCTCTTCGTCCTCTCTCTGGCAGTGTCTCTACAACACCACCCTTTCCTTTCTAATAACTTCTCACTTAAGCTCATGCCTGGCATGTTTGTCCCCCTGCCTCAGTCACCCTTGCCCTGCATGCCCGACATGGCGTCCACGAGGTTCCCCTCGAGCTTTATCTTAACACATGTAAATCTTTTTTTTTTTTTTTTTTGTAAGTTTGCATGGGGGAGTATGTGGCATGAGCAGGACGTCATGCCACCCCAGATCTCGGGTGCGGCAGGCAGAGGATGGCCTTGTAGAGGTGGTCCTCCTCTTCTGTGTCTGTGCCCCTTCTGGGAATAGAGCGTGGGTCACCAGGCTCGTGAGGCAAGCTCCTCGACTCCCTGAACCGTTGCCTTTAGCCTCATGTTTAAAAATCGTTAAAATAGTTTTGATAATTAAATGATTTTGTTGTTGGGTTTATTTTTTTATTTTAGGGCTACTTGGTGAATTGGGATGTCCAACGACAAGTTTGGGATTATCTTTTTGGAAAAGAGATGTATCAGGTAACAAGTTAGAGTATGTATTAAAATTCTATTTCCGTATCTTAATTCAAATGAAAAATCAGGATTTACATTTATAAATTTCCATATAGCTTTTCCTAGATTTTATTTATTTATTTAATTTTGGAGGCAGGGTCTTACTGTGTAGCCCTGGCTGGGGTAGAACTTGCTATACAGAACTGAGTAGCCTCAAACTCTCCCTTCTGAGTACTGGTTTTTGGTGTTTTTTTGTTTGTGTGTTTGTTTGAGACAGGGTTTCTCTGTAGCCTTGGCTGTTCTAGAATTCACTCTATAGACCAGGTTGGCCTCAAACTCAAGAGATCCACCTGCCTCTGCCTCCCAAGCACCGGGATCAAAGGCGTGCGCCATCACTGCCTGGCTTGAATGCTGGTTTTAAAGGCATGCACTACCACACTTAGTATGATCTTCTAAATATTTAGAAAATGCAAATAACTAAAACATCCAGGTGAAGACTAAGTGGACTGCAGATAACCTATGTGAAGCTCAATAGAAACTTTTACTTCCTGTTTCTACTCTGCTTTCCTTAAGCTAGGGAATCAAACCAGAGGCTTTTTTTTTTTTTTGGGTAGGTGATTGATTCTTCCTCGTCTCAGCTATATAGCTATCTGAGACATATATACCAAACCCTTTCTGTTTCACAAAAAGAGAGTGTTTGCCTACACATCTGAATAGATGGCAGTTAACAAGAATTTTATGTTAGCCATCGTTGGTGGCCCACGCCTCTAATCTCAGCCCTTGGGAAGCAGTCAGCGGCAGGTGGATGTCTGTGAGTTCGAGACCAGCCTGCTCTACAGAGCGAGTTCCAGGACACAGCGTCTAAAGCTACACTGGGAAACCCTGTCTTGAAAAACCAAAAAAAGAAGAAGAAGAAGAAGAAGAAGAAGAAGAAGAAGAAGAAGAAGAAGAAGAAGAAGAAGAAGAAGAATATAATGCTGAAAGGACAAAAAGCCGAAGCGAAAGATGAAGCTGAGATGTCTAGTTGCATCCCAGCCTCCTTTCCTCAGCTAGCACTGAAGGCTCAGGAGCCCTGGCTAAGCTTATCTAAGATGCTGTCGTAAGAGCAGCATCCCTGGGGAGGCGGCGTCCTGGTCCCAGAGCCCGAGCTTTGAATTGCCAGTACTGCAAACATGGCTCTGTGAATCCTGCTGGGTTTTCTGCAGAAGATCTCTGGAAACTTGTTGCTCTTTTCTGTGGCTGACAAAGTAGCAATGGCTCCACTACTTGGGTTATATCAGCCTTTGCTTTTGTCTTTAAGAGTTTGGAACTTTGGCAGTCCTCTGTTAGTTTTTATTTTATTGAGGTAAGATTGTAACTAGATTTTTCAAGTTCAAATATTAGCTTTAACCCTAAGTGGCTATATAAACCTGGGTAATATATTCAGTTTTTCTGTGACTCAGTTCATATATTAAATGAGGATTATAGTTAATATTATTATTATGAGGACTAGATAATTTCTTTTATTATATATTCACACACACATATATATAAAAGCAAATTTGATGATGATCAATATAGGTTATAAAACTTTTGGGATTTTTTTTTCTCCCACAGGTTGATTTTTTAGATACTAATATTATTATAACAGAACCCTATTTTAACTTCACTTCAATTCAAGAGTCAATGAATGAAATTCTATTTGAGGAATATCAGTTCCAAGCAGTATTAAGAGTAAATGGTAAGTTAAAAAGTTTTATTTAAATTAAGAGTGTGGTTATGAATGGGATAAAGAACTTAAGATCCTGAGAAGTAGCTGACAGGTTTTAGGTCTGAAGGAAATAAAACATAGAATTTTTCTTTTCAGCATAGAACTTTAGTTTGGTCTGGTGGCATAGGCCTGTAATTGTGGCAGGTTGGGAGGGAGGGTCAGGGGGACTGAGAATTCACGATTTGCCTCAACTACAGACTGAGTTCAAAACCAACCAAAGCAATTGAGTGATGTCTGCCCTAAAGTAAAAAGAGGCCAAGTAGTGGGTTCTAGGTCTACCCAGACTGTAGTTAGATTAGATTCTGTCTTGTGTCCCCCTGCACTCACATACACTCACACACAATCACATGCAAGTAATTAAAAATAAGAGCTAAGCCAGTGGTGGTGGAGCACACCTTTAATGCCAGCACTGGGGAGGCAGAGGCAGGTGGCTCTATACAGCAAATTCCAGAGCAGCCAGGGCTACACAGAGAAGCCCTGTCTCAAAAAACCTAAATAAACAAACAAAAACCAACCAATCAAATAAATAAATCCTAAAAAAAAAAAAAGAGTTATAAGTACCACAGTATGAGTTAACAATTTCCTTAAAAATTAAGGGCTTTTTTGCTTGTTTATTTGTGTGGCTTTGTTGTTGTGTTTTGTTTTGAGGCAAGGTCTCTCTTTGGTCCTTGTTACCCTGGAACTCTGCCTCCCATTTGCTGGAGCTGAGACTTTGAGCCATTGCACTTGGCTTAAAGAGAGGTTTTTGTTGCTGTTCGTGCTTGCCCGCTTTGCCGCTTCCCTTTATTATTTAAAGTAATGGCATATTTTAATGTGTTCACTTTCCCCTTTGTCCTTTCTAACAGCCGGTGCTCTCAGCGCACACAGGTATTTCCGAGATAACCCTTCTGAGTTATGCTGCATCATTGTAGATAGTGGATATTCCTTCACGCACATAGTTCCTTACTGTCGGAGTAAAAAGAAAAAGGAAGCAATTATTCGGTGAGCTATGTGTAGTTTTTATTTTTCATCTTACGTCAATTTCATGTTAGTTCTTAGGATAAAATGTCTGACAAATGAATCAAAGTTGAATTCTCTCCTTTTAGGATAAATGTGGGCGGAAAACTCTTAACAAACCATCTAAAAGAGATCATATCCTACAGGTAATCATTGGCTTTGAACCTGGGGAGGGTGCGGTACCACATGCCCAGCTAGAGGTTAGTTTTCTTCTTCCTTTCTTTCTTTCTTTCTTTTTTTAAGACAGGATTTCACTGTGTAGCCCTTACTATCCTGGAATTCACTGTGTAGACCAGGCTTGCCTTGACCTCATGGAGATCTGCTTGCCTCTCCCTCCTGAGTGCTAGGATTAAAGGTGTGCATCACCACCCAGCTGCCATAATTTTGCTATGATTAACCCCGTCTGTCTTCCCTTGCTTAAGTAAGCCTGAAAGCTCAAACCTCGTGAACAGCATTCACAATATTGTTTATGTAAGTGTATGTACTATTGAACCAAGTCAGCTGGGCTTGATTTCCGAATGTTATGATATTGAATTCTCTTCCCCAATCAGGTGAGGAGAGAAACAAATTGGAAAGGGGAGAAAGGGCAAAGGAGGATTCCAGATGACAGGGGCGAGTACTGTGGCACATACCTATAATCCCAGCAGTTGACCAGCAGGAGAATCAAGAGTTCAATGTTAGCTTGGGCAACATAGTGAGGTCCTGTCTCAACTCCATCCTCCACAAAACACTTACTTTCAAAATACACACACAGGAAAATATTTGAAGTAAAAGTAAGGAAGTGTATATTTTCCTATGAGCAACTTGAAATAATTGAATAAAAGCATACAGTAAGGTATGCAAATCATGGGTAAGATGCAATAAAATGTAAACGTGACCATGTCTGTGTGATCAGAAAGTAGTCAAAGCAGAAGAACAGGGTAAGATAATATATTTTGGGCTGGCACAATAGGATGGCTCGGATGGAAAAGGTGCTTGCCTCCAATCCAAGCCTGAGAACCTGAGTTTGATCCCCAAGACCAAATGATGGAAGGAGAAGACGGACTTCACAGAGTTGGCCTTCCACACCCATGCAATGGCACACCTGGGTGTGTCTGCTCATACACACACAATCAATAAATAATAGCTATCTGCTATTAAATTTTAAATATACATATATATAATATATATATATGTATATATATATATATATAGTAGTTACACATAGTCAGTGGTAGACTGTTATTTTGATACATGTATATCAGACACACACACCACCCTACTTCAAATTAGGATAGTTAGGATATCACCAGAAATGTTGTTTCACTGGATTGGGAATTTTTAAATTTTTTGCTGACCATTTTGAAAAACTGAAATATTTGAACCATAGTCGCCCTATTGTTCTAGAACATTAGAAATTATTCCCCCTACCCAACTGCACCATCACCTCCATTAACTGTCTTTACTCCACTCCTACATACCCTTCCCAGGCTCTGTTAACCACTCTCAGGATAGGTGTTTTGTTTTTATTATTTGTTTGTGGGAGGAGGGGGGGGTCAAGGGACAGCTTTGCAGAGTTTCTTCTATTGTGTATGATCTCAAATTGCTCTTAGGTTGTAGCGTTTGCACAGCAAATATCTTTATCCACTCACTGCGCCATCTTAATAGTCCTCAGGAAAGATTTTGATGGTTTTTAAGTATAGAAAAGCTTTACTCTTCATGTATACCATCAACGCCCAGCTAATAGCCAAAGGCTTTAGAAAGACAAAGGACTGAGCTGGCTATAGATCTTAGAAACAAATTGAAACAAATGTGCTACATTGTGTTGGTCAGCTTCGAGTTGGTGTAACAAAATATGCAAGATAATCAACATAATCGGGGAGGTTCATTTTGTATGCAGTTCCCAGAGATTGGCTCCATGGTAGCTTAGCCAGTGGCGGCAGAAAGATGTAGCTGGTGCATGTCCTCAGGAGGCAGGGGCAGGTAGGACTCTGAGTTCAAGTCTGCCTGGTCTGTACAATGAGTTCTAGGACAGCCAGAGCTATGTAAAGAGACCCTGTCTGAAAACAAACAAAAAAGAATAATAGCATAGGAAAATGTTTGTGAGGTAATATTTAATTGCAAATATAAAATAAACATGTAGCATATAATAAAATCTATGCAAAGACAAATATTTAAAGAAAAATACCTCATAAAAAATTCCTTACCCAGGCAGTGGTGGCACTCACCTTTAGTACCAGCACTCAGGAGGCAGGCATCTCTGGGAGTTCAAGTCCAGCCTGTTCTATGATACAGTGAGTTCCAGGACAGCCAGAGCTACACAGAGAAACCCTGTCTCAAAACCAAACAAATGAACTCCCATTTTCTATGTTTTCTTTGATTTACTCATCGAATCATCTATTTTGTGTACTGTGCTGATTCATAATACTTCATAATCAGAAAAGACGATAAGGCGTGAAGACATTCTGGTGAGAGGCAGTTCAGAAGAACTGAGGGACAGTTCACTCTGTGGTCAGCAGATAAGACCACCTAACACCCATTCTGAATTTCCTTCTCTGTAGCTAAACTAACACTTACCCTTTAAAGAATAATGTGCAGATGTAATATGGTAATCAAAGTGAGAATGTTTTGTAAGGTTAAGATTTGTTTTACACATCCAAGAGTTTTACATTTCAAACAGGGCACTGTTGGCTACACCTGTAATGCTAGCACTCAAAAGACTGAGGAAGGGTGATTTCCATGAGTTCAGGGCCAGCCTGGGCTACATAGTTAGTTCTGTACTATACTGGCTGGGTTTTTTGTGTGCACTTGACACAAGCTAGAGTCACCAGAGAGGAAGGAGCCTTGGTTGAGGAGATACCTCCATGAGATCCAGCTGTAAGGCATTTCCTCATTTAGTGATCAGTGGGGGAGCACCTAGTCCATAGTGGGTGTGAGCCAAATAAACCCTTCCCTCCCCAACTTGGTTTTGATCATGGTGTTTCATCACAGCAACAAACCCAAACTAAAACTGTTTGGACGCCTACACACACACACACCAAAAAACATGGTACTTTAATGCTTTAACAATTCTTAAAAATCATTTTTATATTCTAGATTGGTGTGTGTGTGTGTGTGTGTGTGTGTGTGTGTGTGTGTGTGTGTGTGTTTATTGTCCCTAGAAAAATAAGGTAGGTGCTGGAGAGATGGCTCAGTGGTTAAGAGCACTGGCTGCTCTTCCAAGATTTGGAACCAAACCAAGGGACCCTAGTTTGATTCCCAGCACCCACATGTAGGCTCACAACTGTTCCTAAACTCTAGTTCCAGCACCCTCCTCTGGCCCCTGTGGACACTGCACATGAGTTTACAAACATACATACAAGCGACATGCATAATACATGGGATAAACTTTAAAAGGGATATAAATGGTACTTTAATGTTCAGTTGCTTCTCATTTCAGATTGTACCTATTTATAAAATACATTTGTTTTGTTTTGGGGGGTGGGTGATATATATGCATGGGCATGCCAGCGTGAATTCAGATGGCAGCTTGTGGGAGCCCATCTCTGCTTCCAGCGTGTAGGTCCCAGGGATGGAACTCATCAAGCTTCAAGGCAAGTGTCATAACATGTCGGAACCCTTGCCAGCCCTCACGTTATGCATATTTTTGTCTCTGTTAGGCAGCTGCATGTTATGGATGAAACTCATGTGATAAATCAAGTGAAAGAAGATGTGTGCTATGTGTCCCAGGATTTCTACAGGGACATGGATATCGCAAAGTATGTATAATGGCAATCTGTTATGTGGGAAGCTGATTTTCAGCTGATGTTAACAAATTTTTATAAATATCCTTTTTCAGATTAAAAGGAGAAGATAATACGGTGATGATTGACTACGTTTTGCCTGACTTCAGTACAATTAAGAAGGGCTTTTGTAAGGTAATTTTTAAATTTCTTTTTGGTTTTGTATTTTTATTTGATGCATATGGGTGCTTTGCTTGTATGCCTGTCTGCATGGCAGACATTGCAGTGCCCACAGTGGTCAGATTGTCTGGGATCGGGAGGGCATTAACAATCTCTATGGTCAAGGCTGCTGAGATGGCTCAGTGGTTGAGAACATGTACAGCTCTTCCAGAGGACCTGAGTTTGATTCCCAGCATCCATGTCAGAATTACCTGTAACTCCAGCTTCAGGGAATCTCAGAGACCTCTGGCCTCCAAATACCTGTACTCATGTGCATAGTTCCCCAACACACATATATACATAATTAAAAAGTAAATATTAAGATTTGTATGGTTTCTCTTCTTCATGCTACAAATTTTTAGTTCCTAAGTCAGAAAAACTTAATTTTTTTTTTCTGGATAATGGACAACTAGGAAGGGATCTTTCTCTTTTTAAGAATTTTAGTCAGGGCTAGAGAGATGGCTCAGTGGTTAAGAACACTAACGGTCTTTGAGAGGTCCTGAAGTTAAATTCCCAGCAACCATATGATGGCTCACAACCATTCTAATGAGATCTGGGGCCCCCGTAGCACACGCCTTTAATCCCAGCACTCGGGAGGCAGAGGCAAGTCTATCTCTGTGATTGGAGGCCAACCTGGTCTACAGAGTGAGTTGCAGGACAGGATCCAAGGCTACAGAGAAAACCTGTCTCTGAAAACCAAAAAAAAAATAAAAAGACCTTTTCTCCTCCCTCTCCCTGTGAGTGACATGCAGTAGGTCATCAGACATCATCTAAGCTCTGCCCGTTTCTTCCTTTACCAGAACCTGGGTGGGGGGGGCTGCATCGTTGAGGTTGCTCTCTCAGTGTTTTACACGTTTTCTCTGCTGGGTGCTGGGGATGGGGTGTGCATGGGATTGTTTGCAGGTTTTTGTTGACCTGTGACCTTGTGAGCTGAGTCTACTCCTTTAACTCCGTATAGATGACTGTGCTGTGTGTGGCCCGTAGGGCTTGGTGCCTGGGCCTGAGTGGGGGTGGTAAGGGAGTGAGGAATGTGCAGAAACGTAGCTGGGGTCAGTTGGGCTTGCGCATTCTGATGGAGCGGTACCAACTGCCGCAGCAGTCTGGAGCCTCAGTGTGAACAGCACAGCCAGGAGACAGGGATTCTCAGGGGGAGGGGTCTGGAAACACTGGTGGGGAGGGAGCTGTACTTGCTAGTTTTTGCACATGAGTCAGTCGATAGGAAACACTCCTGCTGGGGTCAGAGGAAGGCTTTGGCATTCCAACCCTGACCCGTATGGGGAAGGCGTCGCCTGTTCCCATGTGCTGAGGCGTTGATCTTGACATGACTGTCTGATCTCCACAGTACACGCTCAAGGCTTCATCCGCTTTTGACACACTCAGGGCTTTCTAGGCCCCATACTAATTGTTAGTGATTGTCATATGTAATGTGCACTTTATCAGATGAGAACAAAAAGTTAGTTGAATTAGACTTTTGCTATATGAACTATTGCAATAGTATATTTTTTTAAAGAATTATTTACTCTTTATTACTGTTAAAGTTTATACAGTCATGCTTAGTCATTTATATGAAAGTTATATATACAGTAAATTTAATTATAAAATTTGAATTTCTTTAGTACTTTATTTTGTTGTTTCCTGCTAGGAAAACAAATGTTTATGACATTGGAGAAACACTGTTGCATGAAATGAGGAAGATGTTTTTGAACCTTCATACTTAGTGTCTTAGTCAGAGTTTCTATCGCTGTGAAAAGACACCATGGCCACAGCAACTCTTGGAAAGAAAACATTTAATTGGGACGGGATTACAGTTCAGGGGTTTAGTCCATTGTCATGGCAGTAAGCACGGTGTCATGCAAGCAGGCATGGTGCTAGAGAAGGTTCTGAGAGTTCTACACCTGAGACACTGGCCTGACCTGAGCATTTGAAACCTCAAAGCCACACCCCACCCCCACCCCCAGTGACCAGCTTCCTCCAACAAGGCCTCGCCTCCCAGTAGGACCACTCTCGGGTGACCACTCTCGGGTGACATACTATTCAAACGTATGCACGTATGGGGGCTGCTCCTATTTAAGTCATCACAGTTAGGATATTGTTCATTTGATGGGATGTATTAGTCACGAATGCTTGGAAGACCTGAAGCTTTGATAGTCTCCTGCTTGATAGAAGGAGGGAAACAACATATGGGCAATTAAGATCAATAGTATGGAAGGCGAACAACAGAAATTCTAATTGTATCTCTTCTCAGAAAGAGGATGCCTGCTAAAGTGTAAATTGTCCGACCTACATTGAGAATACATTTTAGCACTAGTGATTACCCCTTTCTGCTTTAATGGTACTAGAAATAAATGTGTGAGGGTCATCCAGTAAATCATGGGTTTTGCTGACTAGCTCCCCACAGCCTTATAAATCTCTTCATGTGTCTGTGTCTGAAAAAAGTTTTGAGTTGCATTCGTAAACAGAAAGAAACTACTTGTACTTCCAGATTACACATTGACTAGTAGCCTGAGTGCTGGCATTCACAGGGACACCGAGTGCTGGCTCTTTTCCCAGGCTAGCTGTTTGCTCAGTCGGCTTTAAACAAGCTGGGCACTTGCACGTCCTCTAGTCTATATTGGTCTGGTAGTTTTCCTGTGCTGGCAAAATGATTTATTCTTAAACTAAATCTAGTGTGTGTGTGTGTGTGTTCCCCTGCTTCAGCCTCCCAAGTGCTGGGGTTGCAGGTGTATGTATTATACCAGACTTAATGTTAGTTGTAAGTTAATTTGTAAATTTATAAAGAATATTTTCCCTTCTAGATCATTTTTCTATGGAGAGTGATACTATTTTTCTTACTATAGCAGTTATTTCATTGGGTTAGAAGTGGTTTATATTTACAGTTCCTAGGAACACTGTGTAATTATCTGGAAAGCTTTGTTTAAAATTTGTGTTATGAGCAGAGTGTTCCTAAATGTTAGCAAGGTGACTCAGTCATATCCAGGTTATGATGTAAGGGAGTATTTCTAGCATGCTTTGGGCTTGTATGTTAGAATGTGAACAAGTCACATGACCTTCCTGAGCCTAATTATATCATGAATGAAATGACAGTGAAACTTGTGGAATAGTACACATAAAATGTCTAATAATACAGTTAATGGCATGTATTATTTTGCATGCCATTGTCCAGGAATTTATTGAATAGCTATCATATTCTAGGTAGTGGCTATGTGATAAGCACTGTAGGTTGGGAAGTACCACATGTGTAGTAAGGAAACACACACACACGTTTTTTTTTTTGTTCAAATGTTTACATATATTACTCATTGGTAATCCGTAGATTTTCACATGTGAAGTATGCTTATACTTATGTACTCCTGTTGCGTTGGAAAACTGGATCTGTTGGCTGGATGAAGTGAGGGACTATAGCTGAATCTAGAGAAGAATGGATGAGTCTAAGGTTGACCAGGACTGCATTTTAATGACATGGATGTTGCCGAAGGAGACTCTTTCAGGGTCACAGCTCACGGAGGGAGCAGGCTAGAACGTGGAGAAGAGAATGGACCTAGTTCGTGTAAAGCTTGCCTTTGCTGTGTAGACCCAATACAAGTTGGCTTTGTAGGGAGCATTTCAGTGATGAAAGTCTAGTCTTCGCCTAGTTACTTGGAATGGGTTGATTTGCTACTGTTTGAGAATTTCATCAGGCATACGATGCATTCTCAAACCCCCTTCCTTCCTCTCCTGCTCCTCACTGCCACTTTTCCTTCCCAACAGAATGTGTGTGTGTGTGTGTTTTTTTTTTTTTCTTTTAGCTGCCGAGTCTACCTTGTGCTCCCATGTGTGCACGGGCATAGGACCATCCATGGGCGCACAGGTAGCCACATGTGAAGAAACATGTGAAGAAGGAATGAGCTACGTGGGTCAGGAGCACAGCAGAGTAGATGCTGTCTCTGCGTAGTCTTTTATGTAGCAATGGATTCACTCACTGCTGTAGGTCAGCTATGGCTTCCTCTCCTGTGTTCTCCTTCCCTTTCTTTTAAAAAATACGAGTAAAGCTGGTAGATTGTCTGCAGGGTTGGATGGCCACAGTAGCGTTGATTTTTATCTTTGAAGCAGCCCCCCCACCCCACCCTTGCCCCGGCTGTCCTGGAACTCATTATGTAGCCCAGGCTAGCCTCAAACTCACAGAGAGCCTCCCGTCTCTGTCTCTTGAGCTAATTTTGATTTGTATGCTGTGGCAACAGGACAGAAAACATTTTTCTGACGTTTGAGATTCCTGAGACTTCTATCAAGAGCATGGTTATCCTATTAGAATTGTATATTTCTAACTACTATTTGTCGTGTGAACAGGAAACTGTGGCTCATACTCTTTGTCTTCCTTTCCTTTAAGCCGAGAGAAGAGATGGTGCTAAGTGGGACCTATAAGTCTGGGGAACAGATTCTTCGCCTGGCCAACGAGAGGTTTGCTGTTCCAGAAATACTCTTTAACCCCTCTGACATTGGCATTCAGGAGATGGGGATCCCGGAAGCTATCGTCTATTCAATTCAAAACCTGCCTGAAGGTATGTTAATGATTAGAGTAAAATGCTGAAGTTTTGAAAAATCATAATAATAATATTGTTTCCTAAGTAATTTCAAATAATGCCAACTGTATTATTGGCAGAAGTTTCCAGATCCTATAATGCACTTAAATAATTCTTGATTTATTTGTTCTGGGTCATAAACTGTATTTATGGTCTATTAAGCATGAATATATCTTTCCTTAAGTATTAAATTGCTCCACTCATATTAGATAAGTCTGTTGTTGTTTTTTATTATTGAGGCACAGTCTTCTTATGTAGCTCAGCCTGGCCTAGAACTCATGACCTTCCTGCTTCAGGATTCTGAGTAATAATAAATAAAAACAAACTTAAAGTGAGTGGAGTATAGTATTTCATGGTAACTTCTGGACTCTTCTGAAGCATATGTAATTAGTGTCCTGAGGTTATAGAATACTTTCATGTCGTGTGTGTGTGTCTGTGTCTGTCTATGTGAGCTCATGTGTACGACATGCATGCAGGTGCTCTCAGGAGCCAAAGAGGACATTGGATGCCCTGGAGCTACAGGCAGTTTCAAACTGCTGGATATGGGAATTGAATCCAGGTTCTTTGCAAGAGCAGTAAGTTCTCTTGATCACTGAACTGTCTCTCTAGCCCTCCGTTCCTACATTACAAGGAACAGTTAAGGCATTAGAAGAAATCTAATGCATACAGTGTACTTTCACTAAAAACACAATGAAAGGGAAAGTCAATAATGCTATATATTTCACAACTGTTTTCCTGGTTCACATTTCATATGAAGTTCCAGTCAGGACATATACATATATCAATACAGTGGTAATATAAGGCAACTTTATTTTGATGAATAGAAACAGTAGGTATGGGATGGCTAGTGTCCATTACTTGTTGGTGGGGTTTCAAGTTGTGCTCTATAGGGTTTTATTTATGTTTTTGGTTTTTTGAGACAGGGTTTCTCTGTGTAGCCCTTGCTGTCCTGGAACTCACTTTGTTGACCAGGATGGCCTCGAACTCAGAGACCTGCCTACCTAAGTGCTAGGATTAAAGGTGTGCGCCACCATGCCTGGCTGCTCTGTAGGTTGATATTGGTTCAACTTATGCCTGGTGTTTACCATCAGCATACCTTTAGTGTGTTCATTCACCCCCTGGATTCTTCATTTAAAGGCTGTAGATTTTCCCCGTCAAGGTAAGTATTGTGTAATAGATATATCTGTTTTACTATGAGAACACGAAAATTTAGACTTGAAGTTAAAAATACGTAGAAAAGCCTATTTTAGAGCAAGAGCTTATAATCTCATCTCTAGCAAAACTCCCTCAGTTTAGGATAGAAAGATGATAAATATGGTCCATTGTCTTCCTGGTGCAGAGAGTTATTGCATGTGGCTTCCATGCATACAAAATCAGTAGTCAGTAGTTCACCCACCTTAATTTTTATATTAAAGATTTGTGAGGTCATTTTTTGCTGTCTTTAGTGTGTTCGCCCATGTAAACTGTCGCCTTATCACAAATCTTCAAGTGTAGCTAGGTGTGGTGGTGCATGTCCATAATCCCAGTATTCTAGAGAGTGAGGCAGGGGGATTACAACTCAAGGCTATCCTGTCTTTGTCTCAACAACAGCAACAAGAAAACCTTAATAGTGAAAACAAGGAAAAATTGAAAATCCTGATAATGGACCCCAAGGTGTTTCACAGCCATAGCCATGATTGCTGCCTACCTTTGTGCCCAGCTGAGTCTTTCCAGGGCAAGTAGGTTTCCTAACACTGGGTTTCTTCTTTTTCTCCTTTAAAGAAATGCAGCCACATTTTTTTAAGAACATCGTTTTGACAGGAGGGAACTCCCTCTTCCCAGGATTCAGAGATCGGGTGTACTCAGAAGTCCGCTGTCTGACACCAACAGATTATGATGTTTCTGTCGTGTTGCCTGAAAAGTAAGTGTCGGTTTATAAAGAAGCAGAGCCGTCTTGCAGGAAGTTGGCTTGTGGTGGATGTGAGTGCCACGCTTGGCTCTGTATAGATGCTGGCTCATTTAGTCCCCATGGGATCCTCACTGTCTTCGTCCGGAAAATGAAAGTTTAAATCTTAAGTGAGTTGGAAGGAATGACATGTGGCATGCCAATCATGTGTGACGCATGGTAGGTGCTCAGTAACACCCGCTCTTTCGATGTTTATGTCAGTTCTGCTTCCAAGGATTTTTACAGGCAAAGAAGCCAAATTATTCCTGGACTTACCTTAGCCATACCACCTTGTGAAAGTTCTATCAAGAATAGAAGTTTAAAGATGGAATTATTAAGATCAAGTATATCAGTTCATATCTTTTGAAAATTATAAGTTGTAAATATTTTAGGTGAACCTTTAGATTTTACTAGGCTGTATTTTTATTAAAATTTGTTGTGAAGTCAGTTATGGTGGTGCTTGGCCATAATCCCAGCCTGGGAATTTAAAGACAGAAAAATCAGGAGTTTTATGCTAAGCTCAGATGCATAGCAGTTTTGAAGCTAGCCTGATCTATGTGAGACTTTAAAAAAAAAAAGAAAAAGAAAAAGAAAAAGAAAAAAATAACTGAGAAAAATCTGTTTTAATGTCTACAACTGTTTTTATGAAAAAAGGGCAGATAGTATCATTTCACCATAAGCAGTTACGGTAGAATTCTGGAGCTGTGGGAATAGGTTCTACTATCATCCTACCCAGAGCTTTGCATTGGCCATTGGAGAGAAAAGGCCTTGTGAGCCCCTGAGTCCTTATGGTTAGTTCATAGCAGTGGCCAAAGCAAAGCCCAGTTATATTGCCTGAATCAGAAGGGCTTTTATTTTATTGTTCTTAGGTGGAGGGGAGGGTGTGGGTTGGGGAGGGGGGTATGCTACAGGCATGTGTGCAGAGGTCAGAGGACAACTCCATGAAGTTGGTTTTTTCCTTCCTTTATTTGGGTCCCAGGGATTAAACTCTGTTCTCAGGCTGAGGTAGAAAAAAACTTGTCTGGTGAGCCAGCTACATCATCTCTCCGAAACAATAGTTCTTTCTTTCCTTGTTTAAGATTGTCTTGCTAGCTGGTGTGGCACTTACTATGTAGACCAGGATGGCCTTGAATGCATAGAGATTACTCTGTCTCTGCCTCTTGTGTGCTAGGATTCAAAGCCTGCACCACTATACCATGGCTAACTCAAAGCTTGCCTCGTGTTAAGTGACAGAGTTACAAATAAGATCCTATTTGAAAGGTTTTTTTTGTACTAAGGTGCTATTTTCAAACTCTGTAGTAGTTAGTAGAAGGCCCTCATCTACATTACTTTTTATTTTCCAGTGTTTTTGCTTTTTGAGACCCAATGTTGCGTGTTATGTAGTCCCAGCAGACCCTAAACTGGCATCATTATACCCATGCACCACCTATACAATTTCCATTTGTAATTATTGGGTAAAAGAATTAAAGAATTGGTAACTTCTGGAATTATTCTTGGTCAGCAGTAACATACACATACTTCTTAACACTGGGTTTTTGTCCTGCACATACAGGTCTGAGGTCCAGCTGACACAAATAGCTTTTGTTCTGTAATTCGATGAATCTTGATTGTGCATTTTTTCTTTCCGAAGAAAAATGCAGGCACAAATATAAAGACATAAATAACCCTGTTAATAAAAGGTTGCAAGCGCAATAGGTAAGGCCGTTCTCTCCACCTCCTCTGGGCTCAGCTGGGGAGAGGGGGAATAGAGCTGAGTCAGCACAGAGCCCTCAGGACTGTAGTCAGCAGAGCCAAAACGACTGCCTGACTTGGTCAGATTTTACCTCCTGTCCATCCTACCATGTGACTATGAGCAGTGTCTTATAGCAGCAACAGTTCAGACTGAGTGGTGCTGAAGACAGTTGCTAGGTTCACACTACAGCACAGCTGCAGAGCAACCTCGGAGCCTCCTGTTCCCAGCTCCAAAGTCGGACTGACCCATGGCTATTCGTGGCTTGCTGTGAGAATCAAGTTAACATCTTCACTTCAGTTTAGGTCCAAAGTTAGAACATCCCCCCCCCCCCTTACTCATCTCCAGCTTTTGTTTGTGTTCTGGGGTTTTTCACAGAAGTAGGGGGACCATTAAATAGGGGGCAAGGGGAAAGTGAACTCACTGCTTTGGACTGACGAGGAAGAGTTTATCTCTACACCATAAATGAGCAGAAGCAGTCCACAATTGACATTTGTTCTATAAATGTTACGTTGGCGGCTGTGTTCATTTGTGTGATCTCTATTTCAGCCCTATTACTTACTCCTGGGAAGGTGGAAAGTTGATATCAGAAAATGATGACTTTGAAGATATGGTGGTTACAAGAGAAGATTATGAAGAAAATGGACACAGTGTCTGTGAAGAGAAATTTGATATTTAAGAAACATTTCTGAATGAAAGTCTTGGGAAGTTGATTTCAAAGTTTCTTAAAGGAGGCTGAGGATTGTGTTACCTTTCATCGTAAGAGAAAGTCTTCAAACTAATATAAATATTCTGAGCCATGGCTGATGTTCACAGGCTTCTAATGTGGGTTAATACTGCCAAGTGTACTTCAGCCCACATTTCATTTAGTAGTTAGACTACTATACCAATATAGATTGTTGTCATGAGAAAGTGAAGAGTAAATGTTTAATTCTTCATACTTGAAAACACAGATTTAAATATCTCACCAGTCAGTTTTGCCTAAAAGACTTTTGTATAGTTTTGACTGTGATTGGCTGAAGAGTTTGCAGACTGATAAGATTCTTATCTTAGAACTAAGTATTTTATTTACAGTTTGTTATTCTTATTTGTACATAATAAAGTTGGAAAGATCAGTATTAAATATGTACATATGTTTCTTTTTTATTTAGTATAAGTCTGAGAGAGTGAAGACATTCATGGTATCTGTGGTCACCACCGCTGTTCTGCAAAAACACAGTGCTTTGTTTTAGAAGTTCTTTTATGTGATCCACAGTAAACATATTAGGATCCGAAGCTTAGTGACCTACACTTGCCTACCATACTTAAGGCCTTGGGTGTGGGCTCTGCACTGCCAAGCAATTGCTTTCCAATTTGAGGAATGAGCAGTCAGTTTCCTTGAGTTAAAACATACCATCCTGGAGGCAAGTTCCTTAAAACTCAATAACTAAAGAGGTTCATTACGACTCAAAAACGACTCAAAAGTCTCAAAAAGTCTCTTTTAGAGTTTTACTCCAAGTTTTACTTAGCAGATTCACCAGGCCTCTTCCATCCGAGAATGTATAAACACTAATGCCTGCTGAGAAGATACTTTCTGACCTGCAAGTCATGTAAAGCATTCCAATCAGCTTTTCATGAGTTATTAGTCATGCTGGGGTGGGCTTCCAGTGACACAGCTACCTTTGAGACATCCGTGCTGCTGTATGTATTCCTCACCCATGTTAGTGGAATTAATTAACCCCAATAAATTCATTGGTTCACTAAGTTGGACATTGATAATGTTGTTACTTTGATATGTTGTCCGTTCCCTATCTGGGTGATTACACATTTGTTTATGCCTCTCCCAAATACTGTAATACAACACAGTGACATTAACAAATGGATCAGATAGGTTGCTTGGACTACATGTGTGACAGACAAGAATAATACGTGGGGTCTTGTATCTGTAGAGGTCAGAACTGCCGAGAACACAAAACGCAAGTGCCCTAACACAAGGTGATAACGACAGGAAGAACAAACTAGAAGCTTATCTCTTTCTTACCCTGGACAATACTCAAGTACAAATGGATCAAGGACCTCAGCATAAGACCAGAAAGTAGGGATATAGAGGCATAGGAAAGAACTTTCAACCAACCACTGACAAATGGGAACTTGTGTGATTAAAAAGCTTCTGTTTGCATAGGCCACCATCATCTCATGAAGAGGTAGCCTATGGGGGGGGGGGACCACCTTTTTCAGGTGTATGTCTGACAGTGGGTTAGTGTCAAAGCTAGTAATGCAAAGAACTTAAAAAAAAAAAAAAAAAGCCAGGTGGTGATGGCTCACACCTTTAATCCAGCTCTTGGGAGGCAGAGGCAGGCAGATCTCCGAGTTTGAGGCCAGCCTGGTCTCCAGAGTGAGTTCCAGAAAAAAATAACACCCTAAACAACCAGAAAAGCCAATTAAAACCTGGGGCATGGAACTAAAAGAATTCTCAAAAGAAAAAAATGGCTGGCCTTTTTTGTTGTTCAACATTCTTAGCCATCAGGGAAATACAAATTGAAACTCCTTTGAGATTTTGTTTTCTCACAGTCAGAACGGCTAAGATAAAAAACCCAACAGAAGAAAAATAAATGACAACAAGGACTGGATGTGGAGAAAGGAATGTTACTTACTCACGTTGGTGGGAGCACAAGCTAGTTTAGCCAATATGGAAGTATGGAGGTCCCTGAAATAGCTAGAAACAGAACCACCACAGGGCTCAGCTGTAACACTCAGCTTGTTTGCAAACATCATCATATAGAACTACTTGCCCATTCCCCTTCACAGCTGTTTAATTAACCATCGCTAAGAAATGGAAACAACCGAGATGTCCATCAGCACCACAGAAATATGACCCCTGTCCCCCTTCAATCAACTGCCTACAACTCCTTGGGGATGACGAAGGCCTTATGAGCCCCTCCCACATCCATGATGGAATGTAGATGGCCAGTCACGTGTGGTAGTCATTGCTGCCATGAGTTCATGGGTATATCAGCTATGTTGTGTTGAGAAGACAACATGTCGTAGTACTTCTTGTCCTCTGGCTCGTATATCCTTTTTGTTCCTTCTTTTGTAATGTTCCTTGGACGCCGGAGGGGATGAGTCATCTCCCCCACCCTCCTCTACCCATCTTTAAAGTGATTGATTAGGTTAAAGTGATTGATTTGAACTTTAAGAATTAGAAAAATGTCTCGTGTGTCCATTGATACTTTGGAAATGCTATGTCCTTTCTGAAAACAAAACAAAATAAAACAAGATTGTGGCTTCAAATCATTAATGCAAGAGAACATGCTATAGACTCACGTTAGGGCATGCTCATGTAATTGAAAGAATTCTTGTGTCTAGGTTAACTTCATCTATGTGTTTCACAACTCTGGAGACACAATGTTTATAATTTTCAAGCTTCTGTATTGCAGTGAGTAGATTCGTGTCTAGAAGAGTTTCACTGTATAACTAGCATTCTAGGTAACTGTGGTGCCACACTTTCAACAATGCTAACCTACCAAGAAGCACTTCCTAAACTAGGCTACCTCGTATCAGACAGTGTGTGCCCGTGTGTCTCCTTTGAGACAAGCTCTTGGTGTACTGTCCGGGGGAGAGCCCAAGGCTCTTTCTTGGCTTTTTCTATTTCTGATCTGCCAAGATGGGAAGATTCCCAGTTGCACCTCTCCATTGCCTTGAACTCCACCATGCTGGCAAACCTGTTATGGTAGACTGCATGCTTTGAAACTACAAGCCAAAATAAATCCTTCTTCTCTTAAAAAAAAAAAAAAAAAAAAAAAGTCTCACCATCTTATATACTATTTTTTTTAAGGTACATTAAGGTTTTGTGTCTGTGTGAGGGTGTCAGAACTGGAGTTACAGACAGTTGTGAGCAGCCATGTGTGTGCTGGGAAATGAACCTGGTTCCTCTGGAAGAACAGCCAGTGCCCTATGGCATCTCTCCAGCTCCCCATCTGAACTACTTCTAAAGTTCTACTTCTAGAAAATCTCTCACAAATGATTCTCTACCAATTTCTAGTTCAGACCACTTGTTTTGTTTTATTGAGACAAGGTTTCTCTATATTGTTTTGCAGTCTGTCCTGGAACCAGCTCTGTAGACCAGGCTGACCTTGAACTCACAGAGATTCCCCTGTCTCTGCCTCCTGAGTGCTGGGATTAAAGGTGTGTGCCCAAGGTTGAATACTGTGTCTCCTCTGAAGCCTTTCAGATGTCTTAGGAAATCAATCATCTCCAGAGTTGTAGTCACAACTCTATATTGGTAACTTCATGTTCATGGTTCTTCCACTGGATTTACTTTTCTAGGAGTAGAACCATGACTCAACCATTTATATCCCCAGCATCATTACAGGTGTAGGGAAGTGTGAAATTTTTATACCCACAATGGTAGTATCATTGGTCATCAAGTTAAGTGACAGAGTTGGGCTGGGTTTGTACCTCCAATGTTGGGTTTTTCTGTTCAATATTCTTTTTTGTTTTGTTTTGGTCTAGATTTTCATGACAGATTTTCTGTGTAGCCCTGGCTGTGCTGGAATTTGTTCTGTAGACCAGGCTGACCTCACTCTCAGAGATCTGCCTGTCTCTGCCTCCAGAGTGCTCAAGTGGAAGGTGTGCACCACCATCATCAGGCCAAAGTTCTTGCTGACACACAATCATCATAAATAAAACTCTTCCAATCCACTTAAAAACAGGGTGAGGTTTTGGGGGGGGGGGGTGAGGGATGCTTCCAGAAGAAGAAAGTCGGAGAATCAGTGTCTCCTGCATGATTTAAGGAATATGAAAGGATAAATATTTTACCTCTAAACAATTTCTTTTCATTAGAAAATCATTACTTGGTTTACCCGGCAGAGAGAAAACTGTTTCGTTACTTGTTAAAGGAGACTTGCCTGGACCATCGCGATAGGTGTAGGCACCTGTGCTGTGGAAGTTAGCAATGCAGAAAGATAATGACTTAACTTTGCCTCTGGTACAGGGAAGGGGGGTGTTCTGCAGAGAAGAAAGTGGGGGCTTGCGTGTGTTCTTGAAGCTTATGTGTAAATCCCAGCAAATCCCAGCGCAAGTGCTCCTGGGAAGTGGGGTCTTCAGACAAGACCAAGGTGGTCAGAAACATCTGACTCATGATGGGGCATAAGAATCTTGACCACATACCTAGAGGGGGCCTTCTTGCTAAACTGACTCAGCAGGGTTATCTGCTACAATGGGATTTGATGAGGAAGTACACAGATGCGCCTACGAGGAAGCTTAGACATCTCAAATTTAACCAAGCAAAGAATCATTGTCATGCCCTGATCTGTGAATCACAGTTTAAACATTGCTCAAGCATTACAAATCAGAATAAATTCTTGTGGAAACTTATTTACTATTCTACCAGGAAGGAAACATTCATTTCTTGGGGAATATTATTTTAAGGTGAGTGACTTGTGTTTTGCTGGATTTGTTTATAACTCTGTGAAGCTGTGTTACTGCGCCATCTAAAACACCTGGTGGTCCCAATAAAGAGCTGAACAGCCAATAGTGAGCAAGGGTAGGCAGGGCTGGCAGGAAGAGAGGATAAATTGAAGGAGAAAGGAGGAATAGGAGAACAAGAGAACAAGGAGAGGACGTCAGGGGCCAGCCACCCAGAGAGCCATGGAGTAAGAAGGAAAGAAAGATATACAGAAAAAAAAAGATAAAAGCCCAGAGGGAACGATAGATGTGTTAATTTAAGATAAGAAAACCTGACTAGAAACAAGTCAAGCTAAGGCTGGGCGTTCAAAACTAAGCCTCCATGTGTATATTTATTTGGGAACTGGGTGGCATGCCCTCAAAAAAGGCAAAATAAGCCAAAAGAGCAAAACATCATGCAATACTTATTTATTTACAAAAAAAAAAAAAAAAATTTACAAGAAAAAGCTCTAAGCATCCTGCTCCAAAATATTTAGTCTTAAACTGAATGACATTATCCTTAGGATTTTAATTCCTCTTAAGCCTAATAATAGTGATATATACAGCAGTCATTAGTGGCAAGGACTTGCTGTTCCAGGAATTTCTGTCTAGGCATCATGTCCAAGAACCCAAAAGAACCACTCAGGAGAAGTAAGTTTTTCTCTATAAATAAGTTAATTGGAGTTTCATTACTAGACA